ATGGTTGAAATAATGAAGTGATGCGAAATCGCCTTTTGGCCAGGTGGTTTCCAAGGCTTTAGAAAAGTGGCAACAACCACATTCGAACAAAACTGACACTACCACTAGATAGAGCGAGAAACACGCTTCAAAACGGTGAATTGCAGCAAGTTACTGAAGATTAGTTGAGAACCAAGCAATTCAAATAGTGCTAGCGAAATCGGCGGAAACTTTCCGGACAGCCTTTAGTGTGTAGATCGCTTTAGGGACGGAGTGCTTTTGCTTTGTCCTGCTCAACAACCAGCTCACCTTTCGTTGTGTATGCGCCAAACCTTGCTTCCCTGGCGATCAAGAACTGCTTCGAGTGGTGCCTATGGTTCCCTAGTGCACTCCCAGTGCACTGCCTCTTTATCGTAATCGCTTTCTTTATCGCGATGTCGTAAACAATTAGCGATATTGAACTTGCTTGTTTTGGCGGTTTAATAATTTTTCTGCGATAAAATGAAATGTGATCAATCAATGAAGCATCTAGCGCCTAACTCTGATGGGAATTCACCACTGGTCCAAGTCCAGATAGTTCAACGGCTCAACAATCTTTGATTATCTTGGAGAAGAATCAGAAATGGAAGATAATCACTTGTTGGGAATCTGGCATATTTTGTCTGGGTCGAACTATTTTCATGAGTTCATTTTCCGCTCATTATCACTTCCAGCCACTCACCATCAATCCTCCCGCCACTTTGGTCGTTTGCCGGTGGTGATTGCACAAAGATGGAGACATGCATTGAGACGCCACTTATGAATCCTTATAATTTGTTATCAGCTCGTACTTCTCAGCATTAGAGTCTCCCTTAGACTCTCAATACCACTTGTAGGTGCTAAGATTTGCCTGTCGTCGCGAAGATCGCAGCTGCATGAAGGTCGTCGACTTCTCTGGTTCAAACGCGGACGCCACGTGTTCGCTCATATGGTCAAATAACTCCAGGTTTCCAAGGTATGAACGATAATTTATTCAAAATCAGCTGCTTAGATCTGGTTTTAGTGTATGAGGAGTTCATTTGCTGAAGGCTGCAAGCCATGCATTCGCGCAGTTATACGACATATTGAACGCTCCTCATTTTACCCGAAAAAGCAACTTCTCGCGTGTAAAGCTAATGAATCACAATATCACAACTTACATTCATTTCGCTGAGAAGGAAAATCAGCGAGGGATCTCCGGTTATGCTCTGAATTCGGTTCCTGTTAGGATTTGGTCCGATAGTTGGGTAATAGAATGTGATGCCCATTCTTCGCAACTGAAATAGTTACGTTGACTTATCTTCTAAACTGTTCTCCTTGTGACTGTTTACATATCTGAAACACATGAGCAAAATCAATTTTTCCAAGAAAGTTTGTTATATTTTTATACAACATAAACTTCTGTACAAAAAAACACTCATCAGTGGTCGTCTGACTTACAACTTACGTCTCAGAAGAATTCAGTGAACTAATCTCGAGAATATTGAGCGAGTTTCGAAGAACTCATTGTTCTCGATGTGCGTGCCGTAGTAATGGCTTGACAGTCGGTGAGAAGACATGTCGTTTACAGAGTGATGAGAGCCTTTGCGCATTTGATGTTCTCCAGAATGTTTTTTTGTTGTGACTACCACTGCTGTGCAATGTTATTGCTGTCAG